TGTCCGAATAGGTGACCGTGTGTTTGTTCGCCCACCTCTGAACATGGCAACCGTCGCTGTAGTGGTCGTTGTTGGCTGGCTACCAGCCACTACTACTACTACACACACACATGCCAATGGGCTCGATTTGGCGCGAAAGTCTAGTTCACTCCCTTCACTGAAGAGTTTGGCCCCCTCACTGGCCAACTCACTAGGCTACCACCTCAGTCATTGAGCATAGCCGGAGCAGGCTGCAGAGATTGCAAAACCAACTAATTCCAATGAGAATGAGTGCCTGCGTTGTTGGAGTGTTGTTGCGCCTGTAGAGCATACAGTTTCTACCTTCCTTCAATCATCGAGAACTGATGATGGTGATGGTAATGGCAATGTCGGCCTGATTGCATCAGCAGCAAAAAACCGCAGGCATTCTACCTTAGCGTCAGCCAGCACAATCGTTGTCCCCTGTTCAGCGACGATGAACTGTGTCTAACGGAAAAGCATAATTGCAAAGTGGCACGAACCTGACAGCAGCTCTAGCAGCAGCAGCAGCAGCAGTGTGGACCATCTCCTCGGTCGCCCTCCTTCCTTCGTGGCAGTCTTCATCATCTTTTTCCTTGGAGGCAATGTGCTTGCTTGCACTTTAATTGCCTCGTTGGTGCAAACATCTGTCCAGCTTGCCGTTGCTGCTGCTACTTTTGCCTGTCTATTCTGTCGGTCTGCCTGTCTTACTTGTTCGGTGGCCAGTGCGTTTCTTGCTTCTAGGCTAAGGCTAGGTTGGCTGCCGTTGCCGCTGCCGCTTTGTTTGCCCCTCTTTGACGACTGAGTAGTTGAGGTTGAGGCTGCTGCCAGTGAGCCAAATGGGCTCAAGTTTTTCAGCCCAGCCGGCTGCTACTTCTTACAGCAGTAGCTGTGCAGCTCACTTGGCGATCGCTCCTTTGTGTTCTTGGCAATGTCAAATCTCTGAACTTTCTTTTCCAGCATGTATAGTGGTGGAAAGAGCACCAGCAGCAGCAACAAATTGCGCGCCACTGGTCTACTCTCTAGGCCTGTTCGGGGACTAAGGTGAGCCTTTGCTGCCTCTTGGACTGCTCCCATTGTTTGGTGTCGCGAATTGCACACACACACACCGAGCAGGACCCATTCACATTTGCAGTTATTTCAATGGAGATTGTCAGGCAGGCAAAGGAGACAAAGACGTTGAAAGGACACTGCCAGGGCAAAGGTGGAATACACACACACAATCAGTCAGCCAGGCAGCCAGTCAAAGTGCTACTGAGGTCCGGTGTGTCCGCGGACACAATGGACCTGGCTCGAATGCCATCGAACAGCTCATTTGAATAGTCGGTGAATGTGCATGTGTGCTCAACAAGCCATTTGAGGACGACGGCGACAGTGGAGAGTGCTCTGCACCGGTGCAGCAACAGCAGCAGTCGATTCACACATACATTACCACTGAATGCACACACTTGCCGATTGTGCTGATTGCGGCTGGGCGATAGTGCCGCTTTGGCCGCTCTCAATCACTAACGATCGCCGGCGATATGATTCATTCGAATGTGGAGAAGACAACACAAGAGCAGTGGTGGTGGTGGTAGTCGTATCCGAATTGGTGGTGAGCAGCAGTAGCTTTAGAAGCAGAGGCGAGTCAGCCGGAAAGCAACAGGCTGCCACCGCGCTGGAGACATAATCACAATGGCAAAGAACAGCAAAGGAGTGCACTGGAAAAAAGGAAGAATGCGCAAAGAAAAACAGATAGAAAGTAACTGAGATTCAGTGGAGACGAATGATCAAGACAGGACAGCACGAAAGGATTATCAGGATGCATTCTAGAGCGATTGGTTGGTAGTCACGAGAGAGAGGATGGCAGAGATTGAGAGGCATTTTGTATGCACGAACGGCGTAAGTGAAATCAGCGAGCACAGGTTTGAAGCACAGGCGCAGTTAGTTAGGTAGTGGTTAGTTAGCAGATTGGTATTTAAATTAGCACAACTTGTAGGTAGGCAGACCATAAAGGGTTTCCGTAGGTAATTTCAGCTCTCACAGGCCGGGACGAGTGCAATATTGCTTTTACTTTGTTGTAAGAATATCGTCACGAGTCACGACCTGTGCTGAGCATCATCGAAGCAGGGTGAAACAATGAACAGAAATAGAAGAAGATAGCCAAAGAAGGGGTGAGTTGCGGTACCTGTAAAATGGAAAAAGTAGTCATTTCGAACACTTACCGGATATGAGGTGCAAGTGAGCGGTACATCCAACAGACAGGCCAGAAAAAAGAGAGCACTGCCAATGATCAGCGAGTGATTGAAGACTGCCGAGCAGCAGCAGCAGCAGTGAAAGAGTGAAGCACACAGCAGAATGGACAGAGTGCACTTCTGCGGCCGCCAGCGAAGAGGTGAGAGGGAGAAGGAGAGTGAGCGAGGAGCAAATGAACGTCTGCGAGGAGGACATGCGACGAGTGCCGAGTCTGCCAATGGTAATGGTCGCGCTGGCAATGCCGCCGCTCGTGGTGCCGTCGCTCTTCTCGTGGTCGTCGCCGTGGTCATGGTGCTGCTGCTGCTGCTGATCGTGGTGGTCGTTGTGGCGGCGGCGGCAGTGGTGTCTCAGCGGTGATGGTGTGTCTGCTTCACTTGAGACGACGAGAATGGCCGAGAATGGTCGACTGGCAGCCGTATTTATCGGCCTGCCTGAGCGCTGCCACCACGAAGCAGTGCGCCCCTTTCGGCTGTCTTCCACTGAGGGAGGAGGCGGGACAAGAGTCAATGCACAAGTACCACCACCACTACTGCCAATGCCACCACAGCTGGACCTAGGACAAAGGGGAAAAGGGGCCACCACTACCACAGCAGCAGCAGTGATACTTGATGCCTAGGGCCGGTTTTTCAGGTACCTTCGCCTCAGCCGGTACGACTGACTCGAATCAGTGGCTGCAGTGGCTGAGAAGTTGCTGACAAGTCGGGGCCGCTGCCGTACCGATAATCTTGGCAAGAGTGAAGCGGTGCACACATGGATAGGCTAAAGTGAAAGATAAGGGATGAAAAGGGAGATAAGACAGACAGTGTGCAGGAGCAATGAAGTTGAAGTAAAGAGGCAGCAGCAGCAGCAGCGTGGTCCATTCAGTGAAAGACAGAGAGTGCACACTTACTGAGACATCATTTTGGCGCCAATCCGAACAGCGGCGGTGGTGGTGGTCACTAGTGGTGACCAGTGAGAAGACACTTAGCCTAGCTAGGATGAAGAAGAAGAGGCCATCGCGGGCGAGTGGACGACGATGATAATGACGGTGGTGATGCCCCTTGCCTTGTGCAGCCATTGCCACTGGCAGAGCACTGACTGGCGGAGAGTGAAAGTGAGAGTGCATGACTCTTCATCCTCCTCCTCTGACATGCTCGATCACCACCACCCATCTGGTCAGCAGCAGCAGCAGGCGAACACATACTGACACTGACGCTCAGTTGCTGAGACTTGGCGTTACCTTGAACGTGAGCAAGATGAGGGGATAGGATAGGATAGCTGATGGAATGGATTCGAGGCACACACACACACACTGCCGACACTCCATGCCGCCATGTCCTCCCTTCTGCTACAGAGTTGTAGTCTGCTCCTGCTGCCTTCTGCTCAATGAATGAATGCGTCTTCTTGCAGCCTTCTTTTTCTCTTTCGCTCTTGTTCTATCTATCTCTTTCGCTTTTCTCCTCACTGGCACTTTATGACCTTTCCGGCCTTGAAAAATTCGCCTGTCCGCCGTCGCCTCGCTCGAAATGCACCGCCACCACACGCACACTTCATGTCATTTCCGTTCCTTCACATTTGTAGCAGCAGCAGCAGCAGCTTAAAACCTGCTGAACCCAATTGTGCACCGGGGAGTGAAAGTTAGATTTATTGGACATGTACAGAGGGGGAGGGAGGGAGGGTGATGTTGGCGCTCTACAACGATGGAGATGCGACTGACACTGATAGTGGTAGCAAGCAAACAAGTAAGCAGTAGGGCTACAGCAGTTCCCACAGCTTGTAGAGGCGCGAGTTGCGCTTGCAGATGTCATAGGCAGTGTCATTGGCATCGTTCACCGCCTCAAGGTCCACCTCGTCGAGAAAGAGCATGTACTCAATCAGCTGCCGATTGGTGGGCCGAGTGACGGCCAGGTGAAAAGGACTGTTGCCGCCGTTGGTGCGGGCGTTGATGTCGGCGCCCATGGCCACCAGAATGAGGAGAATCCGCACGTGGCCCCACTGGGCAGCGCTGTGAATCGCCTGCCAACCGTCCACTGTCCTCGCGTCAATCTGTGCTCCATTTTCAATCAGGCACTTCAACACTTCAATGCGGTTACTCTGCGCGGCCCGGTGCAGGGGCGTGTACCCGTCGTCATCGGCCACATTGACGCAGCTTGGATCGTGACGCAGCAGTTCCTCCACCAGGGTAAGGTTGCCCCTCTGGGCTGCCTTTAAAATGGGTGGCTCATTCGGGTTCTGCCCATCCTCCTCCTCCTCCTCCTCTGAATCTTCTGAATCATTAAAAACGTAGTCGGATCTGCCGTAAACCAGGTCCTGTTCAAATTCGTACTCCTTGTGGTTCGCCGCATTCGCCTGGCTGACAGCTACCAAATCAAGATCATCACAGTTGTTTACATCGTCGGGAGGGTGTTCCATCAAAGGAGATGTGTGTCACGGGTCGGCCGGTTTCAAATGGCCAGATGATATCGACAAAATGTCATTCAGATTAGACGAAAGTGGGTGTAGGCCGTTTGGTAAAAGCTTGGTGATGGACTGGTGTCTAAAATCTTAAAAATCACTCGAGTTGTTTTGATTTCAATTTTTTTCGAACTGCTTGCTTCGCCCTGCCACCTGGTGGACTTCCCCAACTGCTGCTGATGTCGTGTAAAAAGTTTTCGGAAAGGACAAACAGTCAGCTTGTGTTGTTTTGCTCGATTTATTGTTTTCACATCTTTTCGGTGTTTTGGTCTTCGAGGGACAAGGACCACCGCCATCATGGACGCCATTGTCTTCGGAAAGACGGGCATTCCCGACATTCGCTTCGACACCTACGTCAACCCGGTCGGTGAAATTTTCAGTCCAGAGTGGACGCATAAATCGTTTATCAAAAAGAAGCNGACATTCGCTTCGACACCTACGTCAACCCGGTCGGTGAAATTTTCAGTCCAGAGTGGACGCATAAATCGTTTATCAAAAAGAAGCTGAATGGCGAAAATCCCTATGAAGAAGTGGAACATCCTACATACCTTCTCAACAAGTACATGGAGAAGCCCGACTGGGCTGAACCCAACAAGAAGATGCTCTATTCACTATTTGCTGGCATCAATTTGTGTAAGATGCTTGATAAATTGTACTGCCTTTTTTAATGTTTACACATCATGCACTTGTTCACAGCCGTTGCCAGTGCTGGCCTGGAGATTCTCAACATGAAATCAAGACAACCTCAACTGGCAATGTGGCTCGCCGCAAAGAACACCTTCTTTATGGGTAAGATTACCAAGTGTACCATCTTTTAAACTAGTACAAATTAAAATTCTTGTTCTTTTAGGTGGTTCGGCCATCTCCTACGGAGCTGTGACCTGTGCAGTGGCCAACTTGCGAGGCAAAAAGGATGACATCTGGAACCACGCTGCTGGGGGCGCCTCCCTTGGACTCATCTGTGGTTTCTCAAGTAAGACTGCTGTCCTTGAGTAGAACCGTCAAAAGCTTTAACGAAACCATTTCTACTTTGTTCTGACACACAGTGAAATCTTCTGCCGCCGGAACCGTGATGGCCTTTTTCGGCGCAGTCGGAGGCGCCCTTCTCAAGGCGTTCTACCTGAACGACCGCAAGGGCATCTCCGCCTGGTACAACGGTCCTCGCGAGCTCCGACTCATTCAAGGCTATGACTTCTACGATTTGCGAACCCAAAACTACTACGCCCACACGATGTTCAACAAGCAACGCTCAGAGCACTACAACCTTTGAGCAGGTGGTGTAGCCGTAACAATATTTTCATTAAAAGCGCAAATAGATTTATTATTAATTGAACGCACGCAATAGAGAAACAGAGCACAGTTTGAAAACGTGTGATTAATCTTAACAATTAAAGAAAATATTGCTTCTGAATAAATCTGGTCAGT